CCCAGTAACTAGAAAGATAAAATGCACAGCTGAGCAGAAAAAAGTCAACGTAGGATCGTACAAACTCACTTAATTGATTTTTTTATTATTTACAAATTAGTTATCCAACTCTTATATAATAACAGCAGGTACTATCATTTTTCTCGTTTTATATCAAAACGACTCCCTTGAATATGATTCAACTCCACCATTCTCCTTGATGATTTTCTTTCTTTAATCCTCTCGTTCATTCTTCGCATGCAAAGGCATCAAGAATGAATCAAAGAAATCCTGTTATATTTTTACCTAACAACATGTGAAGGATGAGGAATGAAAGAAATTAATGAGCATACAATAACTGTAAATGTATTAGTTGAGCTTTATACACCTCCAATTCTAAATATAAAAAGTAGATAGGAGGTTTATTTTGGTCCTAAATATAATATATTAATTCACTTTATCTATCAAAATTATAAGAGGACTTCAATCAGGATAATTACGTACAATGCATATTATTAGAATGGGTATTACAGGAAAACAAATACTACCTCCGGTCCTTAATATAAGACCCTATTTGATTTTTATTTTAGTCTTAAATATAAGACCCTAATCCACTTTGTCTCTCATATTTATACTTTTTTTCCCCAAAGTAACCCTTCTAATAATAAGAGTTCTAATCAATATACTTGATTAACAAGGAGATTTTAGGAAAGACAACACCTATTTATAACAAATAACTAACTCAACTTACTTCCTTAATCTCCTCAAATTAGTCAACTGGCTCTTATAATTAGGACCGGAAGTAGTATATATTTGCTAGAACTAAACACTTTAAATAATTTTTTTAATGTTCACAAATTAATTATTTAAATCGTATATTAAGGACAGGATGAAATACAAACTAACTTGAAACTTTTCTAATTCAATAAATTCTTACTGAATTTATCTGATTATACTTAAATATTTACACGGTAGATTTTGGATGCTGGGTTTTAGGTTTATCTGAGTTCAATTATACTGTTACACAGAACAAGTATTTTGGTTTTGTTTTCAATGAACTAATTTTTATTATTATTTTACTTTTGGAATCATTCAATTTCTTTGGTTGAGATCAGCTAGCTGCCAGATTTGGGTAAAATTTCAAACTCATGACGAAGTCTAATCAAAAGTTAACTAAAAAGAAGTGACTAGGAAGGAACATGTACAATCATCTCCTTAACCCTTAAAACTTAATAATAATAAATCCATCTAGACATTTAACTTTGTATACATAAATCCAACCATCAATTATCAACCCCCTAAGTTATATATTTGTACCCTCAAACTCTGAATTAGATGTAAGCAAGCCTCCTATTTAAGATATATGCATATAAGTAATGACCAAAAGTACTAGTTGGGGAATTATTTGCACAAGAGTTTTGAGGGAATCATTGTAAAGTTTCAAAGTTCAAAGAGATTGTGTATAGACAATATAAAGTTCATAGAAGCTATGTAAAATTTGCTAAAAACTCCATGAAAAAAATTCTTGAATGGCTAGTGATCTGTAGGAATCAAGCAGCTATTTGTAGGAATCTTATAATCCTTGAAATTGTTTTAGTCCCTTGGTTGAAATAAAGAAATTAAATGATTTATAATCTCTATACATTTCACTTAGTGTTTTTTTTTTGAGCTTAAGGTATTCACCGCTGGTAGCAGTGACTAATATTCTTGCACCGTAAACTTCCCCAAGGGGCTTTACTGTTAGCCTGGAGACCCTTTTCATACATATCGCTAGGAATCAAACCTCTAACTAAATATTTAAAGAACCAACTGTGCTATGTCTTGTGGTTTTTCATTGAGTGTTTCTATTTGTTTGATTGAACACATCGCAGATGATCATTATTATAGGATTCCAGAGTTATTGAACAAGCTAGTCCTCCAGTTCTTATGCCCTAGCATTCCAATCCTCAACAGCTTCGGCAAATGCTTACACATCTTAGATCTCTACGGAAAATCCCTCTTTCAACACGAATCCATTATTCCCAAATAAATCAAATCAAACAAATACAAAGAAGATGAAATCATCATTCCCTCTGCAAGAGAGCTTCGAGAAGCTGGCATCAACGACTTCAAGCCAAGCTAAAGCGACAGGCTCAAAGATGTCTCCTTCAATGGCAGAATCCTCATAATTACTTAAATTAAAATATAAAACATGTTTTGTTTAAAGTAATAATTTTTTTATCCTATATATATCCCCAACAAATTATAAATTTTTTTAACTAATTAAATAAATAGTTTGAACTAACAACATTTATTGAGGATAATTTTGATATTTTATAAGAACTTTTTAACTGTCTCGCATTGGCTCTCTTAAAAACTGATCCCTCAGATTTGGATCCTAAACCATCAAGTATAGACTGGATATAACTCAACTGAAGGCGTCTTCAAGATTTCTAATTAAAGTAACCTCTATAGATTGGAGAAGCTAACACAACTTGCCACTTTTGAAGTGCGTTGGGTGAGCTAATTCTTGAGTGCTGGCTAAGATGATAGGATCCAACCTCAAGCATATCTATTCTCTTTATTACTCCTCCGGTCCTAATTATAAGACCCAATTGACTTATTTGAGGAGATTAAGGAAGTAAGTTAAGTTGGTTATTTATAATAAATAAGTGTTGTCATTCCTAAAATATCCTTGCTAATTAAGTATATTGGCTAAAACTATCATTATTAGAAGGATTATCTTGGAAAAAAATGCATAAATATAAGAGACAAAATGGATTGGGTCTTATAATTAGGACCAAATAAAAAGTCAAATTGGGTCTTATAATAAGGACCGGAGGAGTATGATGAATTCTGGAAATGTTGGGATTTTAAGGTTTCTTAAAAAGAGAGATAGATGTAAGTTTACATAGTTGTCACATTTTCACCATTACGGAAAGTATATTCTCCTGCACGAAGCATTTCCAACATTATAAGCTATGACAGCCTACCTCCATTTCTTTTGGTGAGCATGGCGCTCCAAGAAAATGATCGGCCACTTGGTGAAGAAACAGTCACGTACCTTCCATGCTTTCTGTAATATCCTGAATTTCAAGGTGTTAAAGGAATAAGGAAGAATGATAAAGAAATAATTATTAAAATTATTTAATGCCTAAAAAAGTTAGAAAAAAGTTATGAATGTTAATTTTGAGAGTTTAGGATATTATGAAAGGGTTAATTTCCCCAAAAAGTGGCTTACACAATTTGAAGGATAATTTTGGGAGTTAAAAATGACCTATTTCCTTGGAAATTCAAGGAAAATAGTTAGAGATCTATATTTGAGCTAAAAGTTTTAGGATAATTATTTTATGGGTCAAAGAAGCTAAAGATAATATAAATCCATATAAAATATTATAAATTAATTTCTGGGCTTATCTTATAGAGAAAGGGATAAAATTGGAAGTAAGGAATGAAGTAAAGGGCATTGTGGCCATTTTACACGCCCTCACCCTTATGATTTGCCAACATGCCTTCTCCCGTCTCATTTTTCATCTGCAAGCGGAGAGAAAAACAGAGAGAGACTGAGAGAAAACCTTGGAGTCAGGGAGAAGGGCGTCGCCGGCAAAGTAGTGATCGGAGAGGAGAAGTTTACATGCAATTTTGTTTTCTAACTGGGGTAAGACTGATTAACACTCTACTGTCCTTATTTCTTTTGTTTTCTGCGTGTTGGAGGAGATGATTAGAGATTAAAGTCTGGGTTGTCAAAGAAAGATAGGAATCGAATGAAATATTGGATGGAAGATGTAATTAGAAGCTTGAATAAGTGAATTGTGGTGTTGCATGTGTTGTTGGAAGATGTTTTTGATGGTTCCACCGCTCGACTTTCCTTCCCCTCTTCTGCTGTATGGTACCGAACCGTGTGAGTTTGAAAGAGAGGATACATATGCAAATCTAAATGACATTGCATGTGTTTAGATGTGATTGCTTATCGGTTATTGCTGCTTCAATGATGATTTTCGTTTCTGCACTATGCTTTCCAGAGGAGTTATTCAAAAACCTGATATGAGAGTGTATATATGTGCGAACCAGTTGGTGTATGTGGCTGGGTAATGAGTACCGAAATAAATGGATTGAACTAAGATTGGAATAAAAATTGGAAAAATGATGTAGCTAGAAGTGTGTGGCGGTTTTATTGTCCGAGGGATTAATGAGTGTGTGATAATTTGAATGCTAAACTTGAGTTTAAACACAGAGCTAACAAATCTGGAAAATTTCCAGGTTTGGAGTAAAAGTTATGTGTGGTGGAGGAAGTTACGTATATACATACATATGTGTGTGTGTACATATATGACTATATTTGCTGAGCGAGTTGGGGGATATGAATCTGGTAACAGAGTTTTGAAATCTGAAACTGAAGCTATATATTTATACATATATGGGCATATGCTTGGGCAGCTTGGCGTTGAATTTGAAGTAAGGGAAACTATATATATATATATATATATATATATATATATCTCTATATATGTGTGTGTAAGATTAGGAAATCTGAAACTTTATTAAAATTGTCGATTGATGCTCTCTTAGATCAAGTGATTGTTCAAGTTATTTAAACCAAGTTAGAGACCGAAAATGAAGATTTGGAGGATTAAATATGAATAGGTCTTACAGGTTGTTGTAATTATTAAAATTATAGTGCGTTTGATTTAGAGCACAAATGATCTCCAGTGCAGAGGATCAATGATATCCATGGAAACTTCATGAATAAAAAATATAATTTTTCAAATTCTCAATGCTGCGCATGAATTGATTTACTCTATAGTATAAGCATGCTCTATACAGTAGCACGAATTGATTTAGTGATACAAAAAAATTATATGAAACTAAGTCGCGAATGTGTATTGCATGATAAATTGACATGAATGCTTAGCTTCATTTAAAAAGAAGACGAAGAAGAAGAAGAACTTTAATCAACATTGCCTGTAATTTGACTAATTTAACCTGCTGATTTATATCCTTCAGTGGTGTACTGAAGTCAATGCACAAAACAACCCTGAATCAACGGAAAATCCCCTGTATAACTACAAACTGATCCATTCTTAATATTACTGTTGAATGGTTAAAAGAACATGCAAACAAGAAATAATTCCGTTTGAATTACACCCGCTTCATCTGAAATCCACATATGCAATCTTTCCCATATGTGGAATAAACACATGCACAACTGAGAATTGTATTCAACCCTCTACTTACAGCAAATCAGAAAGACGGGCATCCAGAGGAAAGGGGGAGAAAAACAACAACAGCGAACTTTATCTCACTATGTGAAGTTACACGACTCCATTGGGCTCCATCAACAACTAGCTGTTCCCAAAAAACAAAATATTAAAAAGGGGAAAAACGAGCCAACATGTAAAAGGGACAAAAACAATCTGCTATTAACACCTAAAAAAAAAAAACAAAACACAACACAATCAGATATCGCTCAGTCCCCTGAAGTTCAAAGAAAGCTTACGATCTTGCCTCCTGATCGAAGTAATAGTGTGATATAAAATAAACAAATAAATAAAAGATTATAGTGACAAATGTTGACATTTACTTTCTAGCTACCAAAAATGTTAGATACAATTAACCTAATAAAATAACTCACAGGAATAACAACCTATAATAAGAGAACTTCGAGATGTGTTCATATATATGTTTTTTTAATATTTAGTAAAGAAATATAATCCAAAATGCTTCAAAGCCCAAACAAAACAAAGACAGCTGGCAAGTTAAGTCTTTTAGCTAACATGAAAAAACAGTTTGGCTAAAACAACAGGCATGATGGTAATCTAAGCTCATCTCTTCCAGCAGGGTTCAACACTGCGAAGCTATTGCTTTTTCGCATCTTCTTTAAATATAAGGTAATTCTAGCATTAAGACATATTCTATGCATTTCCATTTTCCTTGAAGATAAGGTAATGCTTTTACCTAAGAGCACGCCAAGCACAATCTGATACTTGAAATGATGGGCTTTCATATCCTTGCAGTTATCTAATATACTCAGAGAGGTTCACTGTAGCTATTGGAAGATGAACTCAATTGAAAGCTACGGAAGGGCCTGAACAATATGGCCCTATTAACAGAACCAAATATCAGTGTGCATTCATTATTTTAACATTTTAATTTACATGGAGAGCCACTTTGAACTTCACCCCAATATCTCAAATCATAATTTGCTCGACCAGTAGGGTCAAAGTCGGTAACTATACATATCCAAGAGTACATCAATGCTAGTTAAAATCATAAATCAAGACGAAACATAACAAAGAGGTACTAAATCAAAGCAACAAATAATACAACAAGAAGAAGAAATTCAATTGACATGGATCCCATGACGCCATTGTTCTCTAATAACAACAAAATCTTTGCATGAATTATGAAACAAGAGGTCGCCCTCAATAACTTCACCAAGTGTTCTTTTTGGTCCTCCTCCACACCACCCCATTTCATTTCAGATGACTCCAACTACGTACCAAAATAAAAGCCAAGACATATATAAAACAATAAATAAAAACTATAAACTGGAAAGATTACCAGCATCACCGTGAAGGGTTAAGAGCCATGAGCAATTGCTGCCCACCAGGAAGGTAGGATACATTAGGCGACTTGGCTAAAGTGGAAGCCACCTCCCTGGAAGCCTCAATCCTCCTAAGCTCAATCAGCCCCGTACCAGCAGCCGCCGTTGCATCTGAAATTAGCTTAGCAGATTCACTCTCTCCCTCAGCCCTAATAATGGCAGCCCTCCTTTCCTGCTCCGCCTTCATCACCACGAACTTGGACCTCTCTGCCTCTTGTTGGGCCACCTGCTTCTGCTCCACGGCCCTTGAAAACTCAGCACCATATGACAAATGCGTAATTGCGACCTGTGTAGATATCAGAAATCAATATATGAATTGCATTCTCCAACTAATATCAACCCAAACAGAATTTGGATCAAAATCAAATAACCAAACATACATCATCAAGAACTATGTTGAAGTCCTTAGCTCGCCGGACCAAACTCTCGCGAACGAAAGCCGAGACCTGGGGACGCTCCGTCAGGAGCTGATCAGCATTGAATTGAGCAACAACTGCTTTCAATACTTCATTTCCAATTGAAGGAAGAACCTTCTCGTCATACTCGAGACCAAGATTCTGGATTATCACAGGGAGACGAGACGTTTCGGGACGAGAGAGGACACGGAGGGTTAGGTTGACCATCTGCAAGTCCTTGGTTCCAGAGACTGAAGAGAAGGTGTGAGGGCGTGTGCGAATGTCGAAAATGTAAGGCTTCTGGACCCAAGGGATGAGGAAATGTGTTCCCTCGCCGACTGTTTCGTCAAGAATGCCCCGGAAACGATCGAAGAGAACGGCACGTTGACCACCATCGACGGTGTAGAGGCTGGAATTAAGGACAGTTGCAGCGGCACCGAGACCGAAGGCGGCGCGTGCAATGTTCGTGAGGAACGAAGCCGCTGCTTGGCTACCCATTCGACGGAGATAGCTCGGATAGCAATGCGTGAAGAAGAAGAAGAAAGGAGCAGAAAAGAGAGGACCTGAGTGAGCGTGAGAGGGTTTTACTTCGTCTTCTGTTTGCAGCAGAAACCCTGTCTGGCTTGCAAAAGAGGGCGAAGACTTTTCGTTTTTTGGTCCCACCCGAATCTTGCAGTGGGCTTGATCGAGCTGAAAACGGGCTTCTGGTCTGAACTTTGTGTCTCCCATACTGGGCCTCTGCCTTGAGGTCAAAAGAAAAGATTGGGCCTAAAATTTTAATTTATGCCCCAGTTGAAGCTTAGGACTTAGGAGCTAATAACTATTTTTCCGATCATAAATGTAAGACCTTATACATCTCAATTGAAGCTTAGGAGTTAGTAACTACTCCTCCAATCGTAAATATAAGACCCTTATATTAGTGTGTATAATGGTTTTATATTTAGGATCAGAGGAGTACTTCCAGAGAAGTACTAAGTAGAATTGAAAAATGGAACATGCAATTTTAAAATTGCCAAAAAAAAAAAAAAAAAGTAGCAGCCTAGCTGCTCTCATTGTTCTCCACTTTCAACATTCTTCCTATCTCGCTTCATCATTTTGCTTTTACTCTCATCAATCTTCAGCCAAGTTATAGATTTTTAACTTCATATTCGAATTTATGCTTTGGACTTTAATGCTGTTTTGCGTCTAGCTTGAGTGCGCATTCGGTGATGCTTGGCTTTTTTTTATTTTGGTCAGAGGTGATGCTTGGCTTTGATTCTATTTTGTGGTTACTTATATATTGAATTTTCAATTGATCATGGAATTTGCCTTTTAATTTGCCAATTTCATCACATTTCTCATAATAATTATAAAATTCGTAAGCCACATTAAATTTAAATTTGTAAATTAGTAAACTCGGAATTTATAGATATGTGTCATCTATTATATTATATATATATTTACAAAAACAGTAATCTTATTCAAATATTACAAGTAGAGCTTTTGACTTAGGACAAGTTAGGCTTGAAAGCAGTAACAATTGGTATCCTCATAACAATAATCTTTTTCAGTTGTTATTGATTCCGAATGTTATTTGTCACAAGTTAAAAACTCTACCTGTAAAAATCAAATAATATATATATAATTTCTATCACCAGTGAAGTTTAATAAGTAACATTTGGTTTTGGCCAAAAAATTTGGTAACAATTGGCATGTTTTTATATTGAAGCCAATTGTATTCGAAACATTATCAGACATTAAATGAGGATATCTTTCAACAAAATTTGAATATTGATTCTTTATGTTAGGAGGGATGGTTTTTTTTTTTTTTTTAACTAAACCTAATCCAGTTGATGATGTTATTATATTTTAGAGTCAAATAAATCCCACTTTTTCTCGGGCAAGCAACCCCAAAGCAGTGACCGCACAATAAATTCAATAACTGAGTGCGTACATTATCTGACTGTATAAAATCAGAGCTCCTCTGTTACAAACTAGAGTTAGCAAGCCAATCAGCCGCTTTGTCCCCTTCTCTGTACATGTACTTGCCGAACCCATCTCTACTTAAAAAGCTGCGTCAAGGTTGAGTTTCAACCATCCTTTGCGGCGGAGCCACCCAGCCAGCCACTGCAGTCCTCTCCCTACGCCTCCGTGTCCCCTCCTTCCTCCAAAAGAAGTTTATTCCTCCACTGCCACCGCCACCGCCACCGCCGCCCACGAGTAACCCCAAAGCGAACTTCATTATTCATCCACAGATCAGTCCAAAAATCCACAACACTCCCACGTGCTACTTGACCACTCATCTCATTCCAAATGTCAGCCACGAACATTTCCAGAGAGTCAAAATCAGAATTTTTGACATCACATTCTTTAAATAGATCAGCCCTCCACCAATATATAGTTCTCTCTCCTGACACAATGGAACATAAATTGTGAGGTTTAACCGGTAATAAGTTCCATGCCAGCCTGCCTATTGAAGCTTTGTTCATCCACTCTCCATATCTCCCAAATGCCAAAACCCTCCGTTGACCCACAGATAAAATCCCTCTGAAGCTTCATCTCTATTTCCTTGCACACACACACCCGAAGAGGCAACTGAACATCTATCATTTGGTTTTGTGTGGGTAAAACAATCACCCATTCGGATTCAAAGCTATATGCTTATTTTCTTAACCCACCTCTAGGGTTCATTACTGGGTTTATGGGATATTAAGAGGCCACAGGTTCATCGAGCCAGTAAGTTAGAGAGAGAATTGAACGTTCAACAAAAGAAATGGAGGCTATCATCATTTATAACGTATCTTGCTCATGCTTTGTACGTAGCTAAGAATATGCAGTCCTGAAGAAAAGGCACCATGATGGGGGAACTAAGAAGTAACATTGGGCACAATAAAGTTGAAAACGCACGCCCCAACATCCAAGTCGTTGTAATATAGTGGTAAGTATTTCCACCTGTCACCCGGGCGACCCGGGTTTGATCCCCGGCAACGGTGATTTTTTGCTTTGTGTTGTTTTTTTTTCTTGGTTGAACTCCTGGTGTCCCAGCTTCGCATTCGAAGGTACTATTGTATTACTGTCACAACGAATAAATAATTAATATTCTCAGTTTGGTTTGCTTTTTTATCAGTTTGGTTTATGTGTGGATCAAATTTCATTGAATTACTTTATTTTCTAGCAGAAAAAAATACTAAATATCTCCCTCCTTTTTATAAGATTCCAAAATTTGAAAATAGGTTTTTACCAGTTTTTTTCTCTAATTAATTTTCTATTTTTACTCCTCATTTTTTTTATCATACTATGTTCTTTTTATTCTTTATTTTATTACTAGTATTTCTCTCTCTTATTTTCTTTCTTATTTAACAAGGATATACTTGAAAAAAAAATAAAGTTCAATTTTTATATATTTATTTCATTTAACTAATTTTAATAACTATTTTCTTGAGCGGTGTAATTTAGTTAAAAAGATTTCATAAAAATTACCAAAGGGAGGTAGTAATATTTAAACTAGTTTTGGTTGGTTTTTCTTGGTAGATTATTCTTAGTAAGATGGAGACATGGAGTAAATATATGTGTGTGTGTGTGTGTGAGAGAGAGAGAGAGAGAGAGACTAAATTTGTCGGTGCAAATGTATGCCGGACAATGTTCACGGAATGCATGATTTAATATGTGAGATGGAAAAGGAACATAAAGTACAAAATAAAATTTAATCATCAATGTCATCCGAAGGTGAATTATTGTGTTTAATGCTCAAAATAGTTGGAATGTTTTCAAGAGCATTTCGTGCAGCTCTGTTATAAGCTATCTCTTTTTTGGAACTACAATGCCTCTTCCAACCAATTGATTATTGACCGGAACCTCCACTGCCCTTAAATCCTCCCATGAATCCTTAAATTGAACCTTCAGATTATGTTTCTGGCAAATTTGATACAGCTCTGTCACTGGATGTGTCTTTCGAGTTGGTGCATCTATCAGTGGCTCCAACAAACATCTGAAAAACTGTGCAAAAAATTTCATGTCTTTCGTTTTGCCCAATCAATTCAAATATATCAAATATTTATTTTAACACCATATATATAGATATGCATATTTGTATTATATTATGAAAAAATTTTAAAACTAATACTCCCTCCGTCCCTTATTATAAGATTCAATTTTTTATATAGGTTTGTCCCTTTTTATAAAATTCCTTTTGAGTTTGTTTGAACATTTAATGTATTATTATCTATTTTACTCCTGGTTTAATGCATTTAATATATTCTTTTTTTTCATTTATTTCACTGTTACTCTCACACATCTACTCATTTATATACAGAGATATATTTGAAAAAAATTATATTTGCTACATATTAATTGCTTTTAACTAATCTTAACTATTTTCTTAAATCGTGTAATTTAGTTAAAATGATCTTATAATAAAGGACGGAATAGTATAGTTCATTTCTATTTCTTTTATTGCTCATAGGTATCCTTTAATTTATTGGACTCAATAATCATGTTCCAGACATAATTAGGGTTGGGCACTAAAATGGTATTCGAAACTACTCCTCCGGTCCTTATTATAAGACCCCATTTGACTTTTTATTTGGTCCTAATTATAAGACCCCAATCCATTTTGTCTCTTATATTTATACATTTTTTTCCAAGATAATCCTTATAATAATGATAGTTTTAGCCAATATACTTAATTAGCAAGGATATTTTAGGAATGACAACACTTATTTATTATAAATAACCAACTTAACTTACTTCCTTAATCTCCTCAAATAAGTCAATTGGGTCTTATAATTAGGACCGGAGGAGTACTACATTATGGGAAATTAACATATTTCACTAGACCAAACCAAAGTTGACATGTAACTCATTTTTATGTGTTTACTTGTTTGCAAAAAGGAATAAAGTTAGTTAGAGCCGGCCTTGAATTTTCATACATATTTTTTTTGGTTAATACAAACTTTAATCCTTCAAATTAATTTCATTTTGGTTTAGTCTCTCAAATTTTAAATCATGGATGGGCTCAAAAGTTTTTTTCCCTTTGTTCCCTTCCCCGTAGATGTGCTCAACCCATCTTTCCTTTCACAGCTCCAACAAACTAAAGTTGAGCTTTAACCATCCATGTGGCGGAGCCACCCAGCCAACCACCACAGTCGCTACGCCCAGTGGCCGCCCCTCCTTGCTCATAAAGATCATCAGTCCAAAAATCCACAGCACTCCCATATGCTACTACTTGACCAGTCAACAGCTCCATCAGAGTTGACCTTCAACCGTCCTTTGTGGCGGAGCCACCCCGCCAACCACCACTGTTCTCTTCCTACGCCCCAGTGGCCCCTCCTTCCTCAAAAAGAAGTTTATATTCCGCCACCACCACCGACAAGCAAACCCAAAACAAGCTTCATTATTCATCCACAGATCAGTACAAAAATCCACCACACTCCCATGTGCTGCTGCTTGACCAGTTATATCTCATTCCAAATGCCAGCCATGAACATTTTCCCAGACTCGAAATCAGAATTTTTGACAACACATTCTTTCAATAGATCAGCCCTCCCCCCATGCTTCTCTCTCTTGACACAACGGAACATACACTGTGAGGTTTACCAGTAAGTTCTATGCCAGCCTTCCCACTGAAGCTTTGTTCATACACTCCCTCTGAAGCTTCTCTATTTCCTTGCACACGCCCGAAGGCGACTGAACATCTATCATCTGGCTTTGTGTGGGTAAAACAGTCACCCATTCGGATTCAAAGGTATATGCTTATTTTCTTCACCCCCCCCCCCTTCCAGGCTTCACTGGGTTTATGGGATACTAAGAGGCCTCACAGGTTCATCGAGCCAGAAGTTAGAGAATGAATTGAACGCACGTGCACTGTTTCTTCGCCAAGTAGGGGATCATCATCTTCAAGTGTATGCTCAACAAAGGAAATGGAGGCTGTCATCATTTATAATGTTGCTCATGCTTCGTAGATGAGAATATATAGTTCCCAAGTATGGTGATGCTCCCGAAGAAAAGGCAACCATAATGGCAGAACTAAGAAGCGATATTATTCTGGAGTCACTAATTGTGAAGAGGGAAAGAATTAACACCCTCCCAACCATCGAAGTCATTGTAGTATAGTGGTAAGTATTTCCGCCTGTCACGCGGACGACCCGGGTTCGATCCCCGGCAACGGCGTTATTTTGCTTTTTTCTAAACCTTGGGTTTTCCTTGTCTTTTTCTGAACCTTGTTAGAAGGATATCAGTTTCGTTTTAATTGAATTACTCTCTTTTTCTTCTTATTCTTCTTTCTCCTCAATTGTGCACTTATTTATATATGATCAAAATTTAATTAATATTAATCATTGAATTGATTTCTAGCAAAATAAATAAATAAATATTAATAATGATGCCCAATATTGGCAGATATTTCTATCACACTGCTTAAATTGGACTAATTCATAAAGTAAAATATATTAAACCTAATAATTAATTAATCCACAGGTAGAGATCAAACTTTATTTAGTTTATGATCTTCGTACAAAAGGGCATTATTTGTTGAAAGGAAACAATGTTATCTTCCAGAGAGGAGATTTATGATGGTGTGATTATCAGAGAAGGCAGAGCCAACGTCACAATCCTCATCATCAGCGTTAGATGAAAGTGTCATGAGAGCCACCACAATTGATCTCATTGTGGGACGTAGCTGTGGATCATCTTGTGTGCAAGCTCTAGCAAGTTGTGCCATCTGCATCCAAACATTAACTAATCAATCCCAATAAATATTAATATTTTTAATTAATTAATCATTCTGGTTTTAAATCAAAGAGCTAGTTGAATAATTTATTTTAATCTTACATATAACAAGACAAAAATAGAATCCAAAGCAAAATGGATGAGCATGACAACAATATGAGTATGAGATGCTCAATATTTTTCTCAAGTGTTTAATTAGACTGTCTAGATGTTATTTTATTATTGGCTAAAATATATATTTGGTCTTTTAACTTTAGATAAGGTTTTAATTTAGTCCCGCAAGTTTAAAAAATATATTTTTAATACTTTAACTCTAAAATCATTAGTTTTAAATGATGAATTTTTGTAATAATCATAGTTATTTTAAATATTAAACTAAATACTACCTCCAGTCCTAATTATAATACCTAGTATTTAAGAACATTTTATTAATATTCAAGACCTCAATATCATCATTTTTTGTTAATGATTTTAGGATTAAAGAACTAAAAATAATACTAAACTTAATCAATGACTTATTCGGATTTTAAATGTAGATTGTAATCCTAAATATAAATCTTTGATTCACTTTGTCTCATAAATTTATCGTTCTTTTCTCAAACAATGTCATGGGTTGCACATATTGATGAAGGAGGTTTTTATTGATGAGGGTAGTTTCCAATACAAATACCAAAGAGGTTATTTTAAGAAAACGAACACACAGTATTGTAGCATTGCAAATAACCAAGCCATAAGTATGGGACAAATATTATTGGTTATTATTTTATTGGAGGATATTATTAATGTCTTTATATATGTTTTGATTGATTACCTTAAAAACTGAATCAATGGGGTAGTTTTGGCCAAGTCTAGGATCCACAAGCTTGCGAAGGTCTTCAACAGCATCAGGCCTACCAAGAGATTTCTCAAACTGCAATAATAATTCATAGAAAAGTGAAAATTAAAAGGCTTTCAAATTATATTGGCTTATTTATATATGTATATGTACATGATGCGGTTTAAATATATATAATTACCAGAGCAACAAGACCTTTTGATTCAGCAACAAATTCACCAGTCTTGAGGACAGCATTCTTAGCAGAAATGAGTTCATAAAGTACCACTCCAAAAGCATACACATCTATTTTTGGAGATGTTATTCCATATTGAGCATACCTAATTAACCAAGGCATATTATATCATTAGTTATTAACAACTAGTATCAGCAGCTTCGAACTCGATATGGCTTACATGAGTCCTGTAAGGAGAACAGGCAGGGGGTCTCTAATGTCCCTCTCAATCTCTTAAAAGTTTTTTTTTTTAATAATCATTGAATTCTGCATAAAATTAATAACATTTTAGTATTTTACGGGCATGAAATGATGAAGTTTCGCATTTTTTTTAATGATTTTTCAAAAACATTAAAAAAAATCGATATTTCAAATTTTTTTCTTGAAAAAAAAATCACGAAAATTCCCCCCATTTTGTGCCAGTAAAATATTAAAATGTCACCAATTTTTTGGTAGAATCTAATGATCAATATAAAAAAAAGGGGAAAAATTGGGAAGTTGGGACATAAGAGAGTGGGGTATTAGAGAATCCTTGCCTGAACTGACAGCTCTTTATGCTTTTTTGTTGTTGTAAATATTCCAAATTGATACTTCCTCCAATACTAAATATATGATTACTTGGCTATGAAATTGTTTACAATACATTTAATTAAAAAACTTCAAATACTTCACATTTTAGGTAAAACTAATAGCGTTGGACCAATCTCTCACTCGAAACTATCCTTATAATTCTATTCTTTGTTTTTTTTTTTCCGCCACTCTTTATCCTCAAATCTTGAACCTTAGATCAAAGCCCAATATAAATTGAATGGATATTAAAAAAATAATACACGAAAGAAATATTAAAAACTCTACATTGAGCAGATACCAATACCAAAAAAAAAAATCAAATAAAAAAGTACAATCTTACTCTGGAGACATATATCCAAATGTTCCCACAAGACGTGTGTTAAGCGAGGCATTTCCAACTTCAATGAGTTTGCTTAACCCAAAATCTGCCACCTAAAGGTGAAAAAACTTCCATAGATTATCTTTCAAGATCTAAACAAATTAAATTTTGTTTGACAAAAAAAAAACAATAATAATTGACTACAAGAACAGAAATTAACCTTAGCATGGAAGCTTTCGTCAATTAATATGTTCAAAGACTTAACGTCACGATGAATATATACAGGCACTGTGTGTTCATGAATATATTCAAGACCTCTTGCTGAATCCAGAGCTATTTGCACCCTTGTACACCATGGCAATGCATCTAACTCTGAAATCAATCATGTTTGTCATATTATCAATTCATCAATTATATCATTATAAAATATAAAAATCTATGGCAAATCATACTATTCATTAGTTGTAACAATGTGGCTTATTCCTTCAACATCGGACAAGGAAAGCCAGCTGGCTTTGTCGTTGATTATATATGATGTCTTTATATATGGATATAACAAAGGACGCTGTCCGATACTAAATATAATAATAATTAGGTGGTTTATTTTGACTTTAAGTAAATATCATGCTATTTTGTTTTCAAAATTATATTTTTTTCTTCCAAATTATCCATATTAATTGTAGGAGGATTCTATTAAGGGGATAGTTCCGATACAAATAATTAGGGAAGTTATTTTGGAAAAACCAACACATCTCTTTTTTTTCTTCCAAAATAACTAAACTAACTTTCTTAATCTCAACTAATTAATTATATGCTAGCTCCTGTATTTAGAACGGGAAGGAGTATATATCATAGTAAAATAAACATATTCATTATTGTAAAAAGAAATAAGTATGTTTAAAACAAAAGGCACTATTCATGAACTTAATTCTTGAGTTAATAATAAGGTCAGTACTGCGAGCTGATGATATGTCACCTGAGGAACGTAAATGCTGGCTTAAGTTTCCATTGTTAATGTATTCATAAACAAGGAAAAGCGATCCCTCCACGCAATATCCGATCAACCGCACCTATATATATTTTGATCATCCAGAAAGTTAGACATAGGTAAATACTCAGGTATAATTCAAAAACCAGCAATGGATAATTTCATGTGAAAGAAAAACACATAAGAATCATATATAGATCCTGAAAATGCATATTCTTCCTTGTTATACTCAACAATAAGGAGCAATGCGCCAGAAATAACAAGAAATGCTAGCTTGAGGCTGTTGGAAATTAAAGATGAGACATATACCAGATTCAAATGATGAACATGCGTTAAAACCTTCAACTCAGCAAGAAACTCTTGTGATGCTTCTATATCCATCTTCTTGATTGCAGTTTTCTGCATAAAAGATCTTATATTTCAGGCAAATCATTATATATTAAACCCAAAAGTTTATGTAAATCCTAAAATATCTTGCATATGAACTCTTCATAATTGATTAATTATATTCCAGAAGATTTGAGAAGCTAATTAATTCGAACCTCGCCTCTCAGCTCGGCATAATATACTGCTCCGAAACCTCCTTGACCAATCTTGTTATCAGAGCTGAAGTTATTGGTAGCTTTGGCTATTTCTTGATATGAGAACTCCATGGACTTCCCAACCATGATGCCTCTAAGACCAGTGGCACTAGCAGATCCACTAGATCCTGAAGTTTCGTAATTGAGAACAACAAAGATGAGTGAAACCAACTAATTTCGGTCCTAAATATGTATGACGTACGATATTCACTTTGCTTTTAAATATAAGATCTCAATCCACTTTATCTCCTAAATTTATAATTTTTTTCCTCAAACTGTCCCTTTTGATTGCATATATGAAATAAATTGGGGTTTCAATCAATGGGACAATAATAAATAATTTAATTAATTATGTAACTCTTATATCTAAGACTGGATGGATTGCAACATCGAGGACAGAGGAATTAATCCAAATGTATATATGTTATATTACTACTACCTCTGGTTTTTAGTATAAGACTTTGTTTCATTTTTATTTTGGTCTTAAATATAAAACTCCAACCTACTTTGTCTCTTATATTTATTCATGTTTTCCCAAGATAGTCTTTCTAATAATAGTAGTTCTATCCAATAAACTTGATTGGCAAGGATATTTTAGAAAAGACAATATATATTTATTATAAATAACTAACTTAAATTATTTTCTTAGTCTTTTCAAATTAGTTCACTAGTTCTTATATTTAGGATCGAAGGTAGTATTGAAATAGAGTGAGCATTAAGTCATAATACGAGAGTCTGCATGAATGTTCAGAGAACTTAATTAAGGTTAAAGAGAGGAAATTATGTAGATGTAATGATCATACCGTCTTGATTTGATGAAAGATCTGTAGAATTTTCTGTGATCAATGCAACTTTGGCGGTCTTTCTTCGGAAGTGTTTAACAAATACATAAGCTGATAATAATAGAAACACAAATGTTGCTCCAACACAAATTCCAGCAATGGCAACCTCACTTAGACCTGCTCATATAGAAACCAAATATATATATATATAAATACAACGTCTCAAACAAGCATTACTTACTTTCTTTTTGCTTTCTTATATATATCTTTGTGGGATACATAACCAAACTCGAGAAAATTATATCAGATAATCCGAAGCATCTCTTTCAAGTTAGAAGCCAAACCTCTTGACCTGCAAAAATGGAGACCAAACCGAAGGTGAAAATCAACATACATAATATTATAGAATAAACAAGAGAACTAGGCTATATATATATATATATATCTCTCTCTCTCTCTCTCTCTCTCTCTTTGTATGCACATGATGATACGTTTTTTGAATAAACGCAAGGTTGGGCAAACAAGATATACCTAGGGTCCAGGGGCACGTAATTTCCATTCTGATCTGGAAAATGAGGGAAAATCAAGAAGTTAGTGTTTCAGTACTAGTAGTAGTAGTAATAAGGACCCCATAAACGTGTATAGATTTAGTACGATATTACGTGAGTTTAATTTTCAATCCAATCTTGCCGAAAGGTTCCATTTATATAATCCATTATTCATAATTTCAAGCTGAAGCGAGTCTTCGAAAAGAAGTGGGAAATTTATTTATATGTTTTGTCAGTTTATTGATTTATGACAGTAAAACACACAAAAAAATTCCAAAAATGAAATCTTTTTTTACACCTATGCATATGGAAAAATCACTAATTAAATTTCACAAACCCACAAATTTAAAAATAAATTATAAATATATCGGATCATACCTCTTCCTGGAATAAAAACCACTCCACTCTCCTGGCTGAAATTCACACGAAGATTGTATTTCTGAAGCAACGTTGCATCAATACCAGTCTGGTCCACAATGGATTCCAAGCTATCTCCAAATCTAAGTGGATAAGTAAGAAACAATCCATAATCCTTAGAAATCTGTCTGTCCCCACAAGAACAATTCACTGTGACATTAAGCTTCCCATTGAGAGGAAGCTGATTTGGATCCTTATAACTATTGAATCTTCTCAGTAAATCCACTGTGGTCAACGAAGAATATGTTTGTGTCGCAATGGAATCGTAAGTATCTCCTTCTGCTATTGTGTACTCGAACACATGACCCAGAAAATCCCCATTATTGATACAATCACAGGGGAAAGGAATGTTGATTCTCGTTAAGGATTGAACGTACATTCCATTGTTGGATACTTTTCCTTCGTTGTAGCTGGAAACAACTCCAAAATCTGACACAAGATCTGATCTCAGAAACTTGGTTATGTTACCTAGATTGTTCTTATAAGCGTAGTAGGATGCTAAAGCTAAAGGACAACCTTGGAGACACTTGGATTCTACGTTGTTGAGAAGAGATGTTTCTAACAACAGAAGGAAGAACACCAGTACTAAAGAATTGCTTTTGGGTTGCATTGTATCAGAGAGAGAGAGAGAGAGAGAGAAGAAATCAGAAAGCTCGGTGAAGCTCAATGAGAAAAACTGGGTTTTTTTTTGGGGGGGGGGTGTTTTTCTGATATTTTGATGAAAAAAAGTTGAGAATAATAGAGAGAACGAACAACTTTGTCGTTGGGTTGTCCTGTTATGTGAAGGAACGGACATACACATTCAATTCTCAAGAGGTTGCTTTTTGGAGGTGATGGAGAAAGCTGATCATCACTGAGTCCAAGTGGCAATATTGGAGATACCAGTTCCTATTATGATTTGACTAAGTTTTTCTTTTTTATTGTTTTGGTGATGCATGATTGAAGAGTCACGATGAATAATTAAACAATATGCAAGAGATATGGTAGTGGTAGGGAATAAAATGACGTGGGGAATCTTCTTGATTAAAGATGTTCGGTTTTGTTTGTTTGTGTTTCCCAAAGGCCAGCTTGTCGGCTATTGTCCTACCATCCTCCCCCTTCATCTTCAGAGCCATACTGTTTATAAATAAGGAAAAGTTAACCTCCCAATCTTATAATTTATCTTAATTTTGATTCAAGTACTTATAAATTATTCTATTTAAATTGAACTCTTACAATGTTGAAATTATATACATTTGTTTTTGAGCGAAAAACCGTTAATTTTAATCTATAAAATTTCATAAACTTTATGAAATTTTTTTATTTCATTTAAATTTTTTTAATAACTGTGCATTTTTATAAGGGAAAATTTCACTGTAGGACCGCAGAAGATAAATAATTTCAAAGAGCCCCCAAAACATTCTGAAATCTCACTGCAGGGCCAAGGGGCCAATATGATATTAATTCCACAAGCGAAATGATGCCACTGCCCCTAATGAAGACTTATTTCCTCCGAAAATGAGACATATTATCAGTGGGTGTAAAAGACGGTAAAAAGACGGAAAGGGAGGAGATGGCATTATTTCCTGCCTCTCCCATGCAGCGCGCCGGTGCGGAAGGGAGATAGCTGACAACCATGAGCTGAGAAAACGCAGTGGCGGAGCTTCACTTTTGCGGTCCGTCCCTCCGCCGTCTTTCGGACTCCAAGCTAGAGTTGGTGCAAGAGAGAGAAGTCGCAAGTGTGCCCTACAGTGTTGCGTGTTCTCTGGAAGTAGCGTCAGGTTGGCGTGGGAGGTAAGATTTTGTTGTTAAAATTTTGGTTTTGTTGGTGTGATTCGGTTAGCACAGGTGGGTTGTGATGGGTGAATGAGGAAGAAATGAGTATTTAAGTGCATGGGCATGTAGGTTGGGAGTGAGTTGCAAATCTTACGGTTTTATGGTTTAAGAAATTCATGCTGATGCTGTTTTAAGTTGTTAAAGATGTGGTGTTTGTGATGTTTTCAAAAGTGGGTGCATATTGAGAATAATGCACTGCTGAAGGAACATAGGTAGGCGAAAAAGAAAGGGAAATGGGTGTGTGGCCTGGAATGGGTTATATGACAGGTAGACGCGCAGAGGAATGGTGAAAATACATAGTACGATGGTAAATTTGGTAATTCTGGTTGTGTGCGAGAAAAAGCAATATAATGTTGTGAAAATACTAATTCTTGTTGTCAATTGTCAAATTGCTGATGTAAACGTACGTTGTGTCATACTTGAATGATGTGCAGCAGCAGAGGATAAATGGCTAGCAGTAGTAGGAAACAAGTATTTTGCATCTTTCATGTTAGAGGGCACTTTGTAAAGACCTCATAAGGGAAATTCATTTATGAAGGGGGCATCATTACTGGAAGATTGATTAGAGAAGGGATGACATATGAAGAACTACAATGCATGGTAGCTCATGATGTGTGGCCAGGGACTCGTGAATATAAAATGAAGTACACAGTTAGCTTTGACCGGGATACATTCTTGGATCTTGTTGACGATATTGGTGTTGGACAAGTAATTGAGTACAACAATAGTAGTGGCCATGTTTATGTTTGTGAGAATGAGAAAGACTTCACACAAGTGTCACAGCTGGACAGTGTACAAGAGTAAGTTGTTCTCAACTGGTTTTATTAAGATTGTGTGTAGGATAAGAAAGAATATGTCCAATTTTGATAAATTGAACTGTAATACTGAATAACTGTATTTGTTTATGCAGGTTAGATGATTTGGTTGGCCCTTGTGGAATGTCAGTATTTGCAATGGAATTGGATCTAGACACAGACAACATAAACATATCTTCCGTACAAGATGTGCCAACACTGATAGGAAGTGTAGGTATGGAAACGTTGCCAACCCCAATAGCGGTGATGAATTCATCAAAGTGGGCAGATTTGTTGATGTCAAGAGGGCAAACCTTTGTTAGTGCTGAACATTTTAGAGAGGCATTATATAAGTATAGCCTTGCACACAAGTTTGGTTACCGGTACGTAAAGAATGATAGGCATAAGATGATTGTGAAGTGCTGTGTAGATGGTTGTCCCTGGGAAATTTCAGCATATGGTGTAGGTGAGAATAATGGATTCCTAGTTGTGAGAAGATTTAACTATGAACACTTGCATTATGCACAAGACAACTTAGTTGTCCCTCAGAGAAAGAGGTGCAAACTTGCTTCAGCAGTCATAATAGATGAGTTGATTTCTTGCATGCACAAAGCTCCAAATGACATTAGACGGGATTTGGAAAGAGAGTATGGGTTGAGGCTCAACTACCAACAAGCATATAGGGCGAAAGAGAAAGCATTGGAAAAAATTCATGGTTGTCCGCAGGAGTCTTATATGCTAATCCCTTGGATATGTGAAAGGCTAAAGGAAAGTGATCCAGAAACGGTAGCAAAGTGGGTTGCATCATCAGATAATAGATTTCAAGCTGTATTTATTGCATACGGTTGCTGTGTAGAAGGGTTTTTTGAAAGGTGGCAGACCTGTATTAATATGTGGATGGATGCCAACAAACATGAAATTTTGAATTGCCAGTTGTTACTTTACTGATTTTTCATGTAAATTCCCTAACTTCCAGAGTCCACCACACATCAACCACTTAAACAGAAGCTAAGTGCAAATTCACCTAATTGCTCGTCTCAATCACCTAATTTTCCCTGTGAGGCCGCTGCAAACCACATTCCCACAAACATGCAATTATGCAGTAGAGGTGGTTAATTAACTAACTTTCGAGGTAAATTTCCTAACTTTCTCAGTCCACCACGCATCAAACAGTTACACATAAGCTAAGTGGAAATCCAGCTCACTCGTAGTGTCAATTGCCTAATTTTCCCTGTCAGGCAACTGCACACCAAATTCCCACAAACTTTGTGGGTAATTTACTGATTCTCCATGTAAATTTCCTAACTTGACAGATTCCCGGAAACATGAAAACTGTTTGACATAAGCTAACTGGATAAACCCCTAATTCCTCGTGTCAATTTCCTAGTTTTCCTTGTGAGGCCACTACAAATCAGATTCCAACAAACATGAGGTTGTCACATGCAACTAGTTAGTCAACTAATTCTTCACGTCAATTGACTAACTCTCATTGTTAGCCCACAAAATCTCACATTCCAACAATCAACGGGATAAACCAAACAAAACAAACTCATTTGCCTAATCCATACGACAACATTTGCCCCTCCCAATTCTTTTCCTTATTCCTGCAAAATGCCTACAAACACTATAGCAATGCAGTTAACTACCAACACTAATTTTTCCCTAAATAATTAATAACTTTCTTACTTAGCCCCCACACAAACTCTTCATGCTACACTCACAAGCGTTCGCTCACTAAATCAGGAGCATTTGCTAAAGGGCAGTCAGGGAAATGGCCGAACACTATGTGACACATTGGTAATCATTCCTGGGTTAGAACCTAAATGTCATTACCAAACACACCCACCTTTCAGTGGGTCATTCCTCCTTAACCTACCATGAAAACAAAATCCAAGAAATCTACTGCATTTAACGGGGACCGCGAAGCTTACCAAATGGAAATCAGTGACTTCTTCTCGCCCTGCTTCTTCCTTCTTTGTCGATAGCCTTGCAAGTTTCCTCCTTTGTCGGCCTCTTCTTATTCTCCTTCCGCTTCTAGTGATTACCACGAACCCGCAGATTGAAGCTGATGGAATTTTTGGGGGCCACGTCGAACACTTTTCGCAGATTGCGAGAGGCAGGAATCTTCCCACAGAGGTAGCACGTTCGCAGTCGAGAGAGGGCAGATTTTTCGTAGAGTGGTAGCACGTTCGCAGACCGAGAGACGCAGCAGTTTTCCCAGAGTGGTTGCACGTTCGCAGAGCGGGAGAGGGAACACTTTTCGCACACGGGTTACGTTCGCATATAGAGAGAGAGCGGGAGGACTTTTGACCGTCGCTTTTTCGCCTTATTTTCAAATTTCAGCGGAAGTAAAATGAGGGGCAGTGGCGTCATTTCGCTTGTGGAATTAATATCATATTGGCCCCTTGGTCCTGCAGTGAGATTTCAGAATGTTTTGGGGGCTCTTTGAAATTATTTGTCTTCTGCGGTCCTATAGTGAAATTTCCCCTTTTTATAATTGAAGTTTCATAAACTCTATAAATTAAAATTACCTGATTAAAAATAAAGGCCCCATTGAAAAAGAACTAGACTAAAATTTACATTGGTCCTTTAACTTTGTATAAAGTTTTAATTTGGTCCCTTAACTTTAAAAAGTATACTTTTAGTTCTTTAATCCTAATTTTTTTTTAAAAAAATGATGACATTAAAATCTTAAATGTTGATAAAACATTCTTAAATGTTAATATATTAAGTTTAATTTTCAAAAAATCCATGATTGTTACAAAAAATTATTATTTAAGGCTAATAACTTTAGGGTTAAAGGACCAAATGTATGCTTTTTAAAGTTAATGGACCAAATTAAAACCTTATACAAAATTAAAGGATCAAATGTATACTTTAACTAAAGAAGTAAAGTAAACTATAAAAACCTAATAATTCATTAATATAAACAATGAAAATATTTGGAACAAGGAAATAAACTAAAAAGATAGGATTTATTATGGATTCATGGCCTGTGGAT